TTACACATAAATATTCCTTTTACTGAAGGTATGGAACAAATGCCAAGCTATGTCAAGTTCTTAAAGGACATCTTCTCCAAAAAGAGAAAGGTATGTGAGTTTGAAAGTGTCTCCCTTACAGAGAAATGTAATGCCATTCTAAAAAATAAATTGTCACCAAAACCCAAAGATTTAGGTAATTTTACAATACCTTGCACTATTGGTAATTTATTTTTTGCAGAAGTTTTGAGTGATTTAGGTATAAGTATAAATTTAATGCCTTGGTCAATTTTTGAAAAGCTTAGTTTATGGGAATGTAAATTCATTTTTGTTACTTTGCAACTAGTTGATCGCTCTTATGTCTACCCAAGGGGAGTTATTGAAGATGTTCTTCTCAAGGTAGATAATTTTATTTTTTCAATAGATTTTATAATCCTTGGCATGAAAGAATATAGGCAAATTCCAATCATCCTTGGGAGGCCATTCTTGGCAACTATTAAAGCCTTGATTGATGTTGAGAAAAGTGAGCTCACTTTGAGAGTAAGACCAATAGGTAACATTTAATATTTTCAAAGCTTTAAAATTAGCTGTGACATCTAAAGATTGCTTTTTTGTGAGTGTGGTAAATGATTTTACAAAAGATGTCATTTTAGGAGAATATCCTAATGATCTTCTTGAAACATGTTTCGTTGCTAAATTTGACAAGGATAATGATGAATTTATTGAATATTCAAATTTGTGAAATACTTACTCCAAACTTAGAACTAAGCATCGATTTGAGTCTTAGATGTTTCAGCTTCTTTGATGCTTGCTTCTAATCCTTCCATTGAAAAACCACCTACTTTGGAACTCAAACCTTTGCTCGCACATTTAAGGTATGCTTTTCTTGGAAAATCTTCTACTCTTCTAGTTATTATTTCTACTTCTCTTACTAACATGCAAAAGGAGAAGTTATTGAAGATACTTAGAGAATTCAAGAAAGTAATAGGGTGGACCATAGCTGATGTTAAGGGAATTACCCCTTCTCTTTGCATGTACAAATTTTTTTTTGAGAAAAATTACAAACCCACAATTGAACAACAAAGAAGATTGAATCCATAATGAAAGAAGTGGTCAAAAAAGAAATCATTAAGTGGCTAGATGCTGAAATAATCTATCCTATTTTTGATAGCTCATGTGTAAGGCTAGTTCAATGAGTTCCTAAAAATGGGGGAATGATTGTAATTGCCAATGACAATAATAAGCTCTTTCCAACAAGAACTGTGACTGGATGGAGAGTTTGCATGGACTATCATAAGTTCAACAAAACTACAAGGAAAGATCACTTCTCTCTCCCATTCATTGATCAAATGTTGCATCGTTTGGTTGGTAAGGAATATTATTGTTTTCTAGATGGTTATTCTAGTTATAACCAAATTGCTATGGCCCCTGATGATTAAGAAAAGACTACATTTACATGTCCTTATGGCACCTTTGCTTTTAGAATGAATGGCATTTGGATTATGTAATGCACCTGTCACCTTTTAGAGATGTATGATGGCCATCTTCACAAACATGGTGGAGAAATGTTTAGAGGTATTTATGAATAACTTTTTTGTCTTTGTAAATAATTTTGATGATTGTCCTCTAAACCTTGCTGAGGTACTTAAGAGATATAAAGATACAAATTTAGTGCTCAACTGGGAAAAATGTCACTTTATGGTGCAAGAAGGTATTGTTTTTGGGCACAAGATCTCTAGTAGCAGCATTGAGATAGATAAAGCAAAAATTAAAATAATCTAGAAACTACCACCTCGAATAAATGTCAAAGGTATTAGAAGTTTTCTTGGTCATACTGGTTTTGATAGAAGATTTATCAAGGACTTTTCAATAATTTTCAAACCACTTTACAATTTATTGGAAAACGATGTGCCATTTAACTTTGATAATGATTGTTTTGTTGCTTTTGAAGAATTAAAGAAAAGATTAATTTCAGCACTTATCATAATTAGTCTCAATTGGACTTTCCTCTTTGAACTAATGTGTGATGCAAGTGATTATGTGGTGGGAGCCATTTTGGGACAAAGGATAAACTCTTTCATTCCATCTATTATGCTAGCAAGACTTTGAATGAGGCACAGAAAAATTATACCACAACAGAAAATGAGCTTTTAGCTGTTGTTTTTGCTTTTGGCAAATTTCGCTCCTATTTCCTGAGGACAAAGGTGATAGTGTATATTGACCATTCAGTTATCAAATATTTGATTGTCAAGAAAGATGTTAAGCCAATATTAATAAGGTGGATTTTTTTTCTGCAAGAGTTTGATCTAGAGATTTGTAACAGAAAAGGAACAGAAAATCAAGTGGCATACCACTTCTCAAGATTGGAGATTGAAGCTCAAGGTAAAGATTCAACCTTAATCAAAGAGACTTTTCCTGATGAACAAATCTTTCAAGTTGGTAAGAAATCACTTCCTTGGTATGCTGATTTTGTGAATTATTTGGTAAGCAATATTATTCCCCTTAATTTAAATTTTCATCAAAAAAATTTTTTTTGCATGATGTTAAATTTTATTTCTAAGGTGAGCCTTTCTTGTTTAAGCAGTCTAGAAACCCGATTTTTAGAAAATGTGTCCTAAAGGAAAAGAAACTCAAAGCATGGTTCACCATTGCCATTCTTCATATTATAGAGGACACTTTGGAGGAACAAGAACTGCTACTAAAGTCCTCCAATCAGTTTTGTATTGGTTTACATTATTCAAAGATGCTCATAATTTGGTTTTGCATTGTGACAAGTGCTAAAGAATAGGTAATATCTCAAAGTGACATGAAAACAAGGAGACATTGGTGAAGATTTCAAACAAGGCAATTAAAATCTGTAATTATTTGAGAAACTATGCAAAGGTGAGTATAGCCAAGTCGAGCATGCCAATCTGTAAGAGACAACCGTTCTCTAGCCAAGGCTTCTTTCTTTATTGGCAAAGTACGAAGAACTTAAATTCCATCTTTACTTGATCCTTGCAATAAAACCTTCCTGGTGTTCTGATCCTTAATAAGAAAAGTGTTAGGCTAGAATTCAAAAGAAGAAGAAATGTCAGTATCAAATTTTTGAACAGATAAAAGATTCTTGGTAATTTGTGGGATGCATAAAATATTTCGAAGTTTGAAATTGTCATGAGAAGAAAGAAGAAATAGAGTGCCAGTATGAGAAATGTGCAAACCTTGGCCATTACCCGTATAAAGTTGATCACCACCTTTGTAGACATTAGCGATTGTGAGATTAGAAAAATCTGAGATAGTATGATAATTTGCCATAGTGTCTGGAAACCAAGGTGTAGACTAGCCAGCATGAGTGAAATATGCAGATCGATAGGGTGAATAAGGAACAGATGAAGAAGATGGAAACGAGCCATAAAAGAGATGGCGAGCTTGTGGATTAGAAATTTGTCATGGAATATAACGCTTTTTGCATTTATCTGTTGTGTGATTCTTGAGTCCATAAATCTAAAAAGGGCTCTATGGGCAACATGAATGGGAGATAGAGGATTTCAGTTTGGAAGATGGTGGCATAAAAGGTGTACGAAGGAGAGGGGCAAAATTGTTGGAACAGGTAATAGATTTATGAACAATATTAGCAATTGGTTGTTCATGAGTGCTTTTAAGAAGAACAGAATTGTTGGAAGAGGTAGTAGATTTATGAATAATGTTAGCAATTGGTTGTTCATGAGTGGCTTTAAGAAGAATTTCATGAGCAACTAATTGACCATGCAACTCATGAAAAGGGACAAAATCAAGCTGAAGATTAAGGGCAGTGATAATATTATGGAAATCATTACCTACATTTCGATAAATAATGGCATTGAATTCAGCAAAAGTCATTGTTCGCCCAACAACACTCAATTCATCAGCGAGACTTTTAGCCCGTTGTAGATATTCAGAGACAGAAAGATCATTTTTCTTGAATTCTTGAAGTTCAATATGAAGCTAGAGTTGACAATTTTGAGAAATAAACCCAAAAGCATTGGGAAAAGCATGCCAAACAGCGAAAGAAAAGGATAACCAAACCACATATAAAAGATCTCTTCAGTTAGAGAAGATAACAGCCAAGAAAGAAGCATCTGATCTTTTTGAAACTAGGATTGATATTCACGATTGGAAATTTGTTCTTGGGGTATGGTGGGAGGAAGAATAATCTTGGCCGGTTCAAGAGAGGTTCCATCCAGAAAGCCATTAAGGTTTTGATAGTTTGTTTTCCAGGCTAGGTAGTTTTTGGTGGTGAGTTTGATAGAAAAGGTGTGATGAGCAGTTATAGGAGTAAAGAGAGGAGAAACAAAGGTTTGAGGAATAATACTCATGGTCATAAAGCTATGATATCATGTAGAGATTGGAAATATTAAGTTTTATTGATGGACAGAACGATATAAAACTAATTGATAAAACTAAGTATCTAGATAAAGCTAAGATGATAGGAATAGAAATTACAATAATAGATAAGGTCTCTGACTGTGTTTTGGATGTTGGTGGGAAGGTTTGTGTCTATTTCTTACGTTCTCCAGAGGGGCCTTGGATGATGTTCTTTACTTTTGGCCATGATGAGGTTCTGGTGACATTGACTACTACTGTTTTTTGTGATTCATGGTGTGAGTGGTGGACTCTGGTCTTTGAGATGTGCAGGAGATGTTGATGGGTTGTCTGTTGAAGAGCACCTATTGATCAGTGATCGCTTGGTTTGTAAGACCTTGGTAGCTGGTGCTGTGATGATTAAGGACTGTCAACCCTAAAAACACTCATTTATCTTATCACTCTAATAAAATTTCACTAGTATTAGACTTTTGTTTAGGGATTTATCCAGAACTTTACTTGTTTTTGAGATTATCCGTGTTGAGATGTTGCCAAGTGCTCCTTGAGCAACTGCTCCTCTTGTAATTGTTCAGAACAGGCTCTTTTTATGATAACTTCCATGCCAACAGGAGTCTCCAAACCTCAACGTTGAAGACTCCCCACGGCATTCCAGCTTATCATTAATAAAAACTCATCTTTTAAAAAAAAAACAACTCTTTTCCTAACGTAAAAGAAAAAGAAAAACAAATAATGTACATCTGCACCATAATATGCAAGAGAAAATTAGAATCTTTCTGACAAAAAAAAAAGAAAGAAAATAAAAAATAAAATAGTTTAAGATTAAAAAACCCCGATACGTCGAAGCCGATATTGTCACTAAACAAATACTGCAAATATCGATCAACTTCACTTGGTAGAAAGATAAGAAGTTTAAATTCTTTAGCAGCCTCTTAGGGAACACAACATATGCGAGTAATACTTCATCGCTTAACATAGCCATATCTTCCTCTTTTAGGCTGACCCAAGCCTCTATTCCATCCCCAGATACAGTATCCATGAAAACTACTAGATTCTTAAAAGTAAGGCTCGCGGAACTCACCCAAATAGGTTTCCCCCAACCAAAGTCAGCTTTATACATAGGAAACCTACATAAACTAGTGAAGCTAAAGGAAACCATCTCTCCTCTAATGAAACTTTCAGTGCTCTCTTTCATGACGTCCAAGTGACTCTGCCCATTTTGAAGTTGCCTACAATATTCCATGTCAAGTTTTCTTATGGAGTCCCTTATCTGGTAAACGAGACTACAACAATCTTCTTCAGAGTTTATGGATGGAACTGTCATCGCAACGCGGTAAAAATTTCCAAAAGAATGTTCTGTTAGCGGCGGTTCTAATCTTGGGCGTAAGTTTACTGCATGAATGATTGTGTGGAAGCAGTTATCAGGGATTGGTTTTGCTTTGGTTGCAGCAACAAAACGACTCCATATGAAAGCTGATAATGCCACAATGCGTGATGGGCCTTTTTGGTTTTCGGCACTTGCAGTACTCTTAGTGTATTTTGCTTTGATTTCCTGTATTTTGGAGGCAGTAAACACAAACCTCTTCGTTACAATTCTTTCTGTTGATATGCCAGTTCTCGGGTCAAACCCTAATGTGCTCTTTGGAGGGAACAATTTGGCCGATGCAAATTCTGGAGACACTATGTAACTCTCTCCACGAGCAATGGCTGCCCAAGTATTCACAAATGTGAAAAACGACAGGGCATCTGCAAGTTTGTGAGAAATACACACACCAATACCTATGCCTCCAGAATAAAAAACGTTGAATTGGATTCCTAGGGGCAATTCCTCAGCATCATCTAGTACAAAGGGAAGTAATTTGTTGAGTTCACTAGGAGCAGGGTTTTCTAGGATATCTGAAAGTTTGCACTTGACTTGGGCTTCCAAAGGGTATGCCCTCATCATTGCAGTCTACAAGCTGGTTATCCTTAATCCGTCCGGCTAGTGGGTAAAAATAGGATAGGGCATTGGACATGGACTGTTTAAGGTGGTCGGTAATCTTGGTTTTGTTTACTTGGATATTGCATTTGGTCATCGGGTAGAATAGAACCAAAGGGTTATAGACGGGAGGAGATATTTGATCAAGAAAAGAGAGTTGGTAATGGCGAAGATGATCAGGGGTTGGGGATGATGGCTTGATAATCTCTTTGGACATTACTTCAACCTCGAGCTTCATCTTTGCCCCAAGCTATCTTCGTGAACAAATTATACTTTGCTGATCTCTGTACCGTCCTGTTCCTGCTTAATGCGGCTCCAATATAACATATATTTATATAGATGTTAATGAGAGAAAAAAGGTTCAAAATCCCAAAATTATTTGTAAGGCCAAATCTCGGCTGTGATTCGAATGAATGGACAGCAGCAATTACGTAACAGCATACACGGTCCAAAGATATTACAACCAAGCATTTCTTTTCTTGCAGCAATTTTCTGGTTAACCAAACATGGTAGATTATGATAGGGGTAGCGTGCTTGCTGCTCTCAAGAATACAAATAATATGACTATAATAATTGTAGTAGGTCTAAGTATTTTATCTTCCATAAGAGGATTAATTTGTCTATCGACAAGACATAGCTAGGAAAGAAGAAAAGTTGCAGGCTAATTGTTGTAGCCATCACTCATCCCCTTGTACCTAATGAATTTCACATGGCCAGAGTGATTTCTTCTGAATATTAAACTTATCTTTTTGACTAAATATCTCAATTTTAGCGATCTTGTTAAGGTAGATTGTTTGAAAGATATTTTGTTGTGACAGATTAAAACATCTCTGGAGATATCTTCATTTACTATTTATCCAAGCATAAGGTTGTTACTCAGATGTTTCTTGAGCTAATCAGGGAGCAGAATATTTCTTGGCTCCTGGAATTATCACTTCTTGGCTATCGTTTACAGAATTTACTTCTCGCATTTCTCCGAATGTCTAACAATATTCACTTACCATTTGAAAAAAAATGAAGCTTCCAAACTTGGTGAGTTTGTTATAAATTGGTTCTAATTTTCAATTTATGCGGCAAATTCTCCTTTTTCTTTCTTTGTTATTATTATGTATGACTTGTATCTCATTAGAATTATTAGGTGTTTTAAAATTCAAAAGAATTATTTTTAAAAATTGACTGCCAACTACTATATTTTCAACATGTCAACAAACAGGGTACACAAACCCACACGCCTTGACTTCCTAAAACATAAAAACAAAAAATTATCACTTATTTGATTTCATTTGTCTTTGCATTAGACATGTTGATTCAATACATGTCATTTATTTTTCATTTTTTTATTACATTGGACATGGCATCTAAAGATATTAAAACCACTTCCAAAAACTTCAAAATTAAAAAAAAAAAAAAAAGAAAACAAATTAAGTTTTTAGTTTCAAACATTGAAGCAAATATCCATCTACCCTTTCCAAGAAAAGCATGGGAGCAGATTCGGAGGTAAAGTAAACTAAAACCCACAAGTTTAAGCATCCGAAGCTGAGCAAACAAACGCAAGCAACTCCTCATCACCTTCGAACCTAGCCATGTCTTCCTCCTTCATATTAATCCAGGCCTCAATGCCGCCACTTGAACCTGTGTCCATGAAAACCACCAAATTCTTGAAGGTGAGGCTAGCCGAGCCAACCAAATAGGTCTTCCCCACCCAAAATCGGTTTCATAAGAGGGAACCTGCACAAACTAGTAAAGCTGAAAGAAACCACATCTCCTTTTGTGATTTTCTCAGCTCGCTCTTTCATAAAATTCAAGTGTCCGCTTCCTTCCTGAAGTTTCCTCACGTAATCGCCATCTATCTTCCTTATTGCATGTCTCACCTCGCTCACGATGCCAAAACACTCTTCCTCGGAGTTTATAGACGGTATTGCTATTGCAAATCGGCTGATATTACCGAAATAGTACTCTGGCAATGGCGGATCCATCCTTGTGCGCAGGTTCACTGCGTGAAGCACTGTGTAGAGCTTTTCAGGGTCTGGTTTTCCTTGAGTTGTAGCCATGAAGCGGCTCCAAATGAAGGCTGAAAGTGCTTCGATTCGTGTGGGGCGCCTTTGGAATTCTCCATTACTTGCACCATCATCAGCATACTTAGCTCTAAGTGCGGCAATCATTGAAGCACTGAACACGAACCTCCTTGTCACAATCTTGTCTTTAAAAATTCCAGTGCTGGGTTTAAATCCGGATATGCTTCTGGCAGGAAAAAGGGTGGCCAAATCAAATCGTGGAGGGACCGTATCACTGTCCCCACGAGCAGTGGCAGCCCAATTATTAAGAAACATGATTAGAGATAACGCATCAGCAATTTTATGAGAGATGCAAACGCCGATAGCCATTCCACCACAGTCAAATATATTGGCTTGAATTGCCAAAATCAAGTCTCCTACGTTATCCAATTCATAAGGGAGTAGCTTGTTGAGTTGGGCAGGCTCGGGTTGCCTTACGACATCTGAAAGTTTGCACTTCACTCGGGATTCAACGAAAGGGACGCCTTCATCGTTGCAGTCAATGAAGGCATTGTCTTTGACACGTCCGGCTAAGGGATAAAATCGAGTTAAGGTCTCGGACAGGGATTTCTTCAGCCACTCGGTTCTATTGAAATTACCCACATTGACATCACAGTCTATTGTATAGAAAAAAACCATTGGCATAAAAACAGGGGTAGCAATTTGGTCAAGGAAAGAGAAGTGGAGATTTCGAAGGTGGTCAGGGGTTGGAGAGGAAGGCTTAATAATACCTCTGGCAATGACTTCGACCTTCATTTTGGCTTTTAGTCTCGAAGCGAAGTGGAGATTTCGAAGGTGTTTAGGAGTTAGAAAGGTGCCTGCTTGGCATTTGGCGGAGATTGCCCCTAACTGCCATCTTATATAGTGCATGCACAGACAGGAGGCAGAAAGCAGATGCATGTGGGTTTTAGTAACATTATTCTCTTAGCAAAATCGAATTTGCATTCTGTAGTCAATATGGCAGGTTAAGTGGAAATTTCTCCTGAATCTCGAGGCCCCGGGGACTTTGATTTAATTAGCATTCACACATGAAAGACGCGGATTTTGCATATCGGTAGGTTTTTTTGCATATTCAACGCACTAAATTAATTTACAGGCCAAATCCAGTGCACCCCTTTTCTATTACTTAAACATTTACTTCCAGTTTTTAAGTATACACTACTCCCATCCCTTTGTCACATTTTGTCTCCTTTTACTTTTCACTGTATGGCTCTTATGTCACGTTGAGGTCAGTCTAAGCTAAAACTTCACTCTAATTGATTACTATATCATCATTTTGTGTGTGTGTGTCTATATATATGTATATATATATAATTTGGGGGGCTATATGGCCTAATTGAGAGCCTATCTTCTTCCTAGTCCTATTGCAGATTAAGAGTGTATTTATTGCAAAGAACATAAACATTAACACATACTGAATCATATGGTAATTAATGATCATTTCATAAAACGGCTCATCTATGGTAATAGACACTCTCATTCTTTGGACTGATAGCTCTAATTAGAGTCACCAAATTCTTTTAGAAGATTTGGCAGAAATATCCTTGTTTTTCTCTCGTGTTTCTGGGCCCGGCTGCATATCCGATCTCCCTCACCAGCATGCCATATACCTGCTCAGCCATCTGACCTTACGGTTGCAATACTTACCCCAGGGGTTAGAGGGATTAATGTCAAAGAGCTAATTACATGCAATCCATTAATTGGAAAGGGAAAGGCAAACTCTTAACCATTGGTAAGCAGAAAAGGCCCCATAATCAATGGATGATCAATCATATTCACATATTACTATCAAAGAGAAGGAAATTCAAACCAACAAGCCTAGATTACTTCTAGAAAATCATCACTATGACTTTTCTTTCTTCATTCTTTCCGTGTGCTAAAGTACTTATCCAAAATTTTGAAGTGGCCATTACTATTTTCAGTAGCAGGCCACGGATTTCAAAAGCAGAATGTCAAATTAATTAAGCATTGCCTGATAAACGAATGATGGATATAATATATGTATGCATATATGAATATATATATATAACCCAATTGCATTGCAGTGACAAGGATACGTACGGTAGAGAACGGTATTGTTAGAAAGATTTGATTTCAGCAAATGTTAACCCAAGCCTTGGTGTTTAGTTTATTATATGGACATATATTTTTAGAAAAACTTGAATTTCTAGAGACACTATGTTGAAGAATAATGATTGTTCCATTTCTTAGAAGCAGCACAAAGCTGAATTTTAATTCATATTATCAACTATAAACATTTTATAATTAATTGTAAAATAAATTACTCATTTGGTCACTTAACTTTCGAAGAATTTGTTTTCAATTACTTTTAAAATAAATTACCCATTTCATTATTAAACTTCTCAAAAGCTTATGTTTTAATCACTCGATTTTAAAAAATTACATTTCAGTCATCAATAATTATAAAAATTAATATTTTAATCATTCGATTATCAGAAGTTAACGTCAATCTACGTGACTGTCAGGGAACCCCTAATTCAGTGATTTATAATGAAATATTCTATCTTTCAAAAAAATAATTAAGTTATTAAAATATTAAAAATGATTTTTTTAAAATTGAGTGATAAAATAACTCTTAAAAAATTAAATAATTAAATAAGTAATTTACCCTTAATTCCATTCTTCGATTAGAATATGCATCTGATCAAGGTTCTTTCGGGTTACAACTTACCAAAGGTATTAATTTCAGATTATTTAGCTGAATGAGGTGTTACCTTTTGCCCTGCTATGTCGTGTTAATCCAGAAAGAGCAACAAAATCTAAACAAAACTTGAATTCTCGCATTCAAGCAATATTGTTTAAATTTGAAATATGCTTTATTTTCATCTTTTATGAGTATAAGATACAGGATCGCTACTCAAGTTTACTTATAATCAAGAATCTACCACCATAGATAAGTCTCTTTTTTTCTCCAATAAGAAATTCCAAACAAACTCTTCCTTCTCATTAGTACCTCAATTTGACAATGCTTTAAGCTGACTTGCAGGTGATATATATTGATTCTTCATTCTGGCACATAAATTAATTGTTTTCCAGATTTGGGAATGCAGTGTACGATCAAACCTTTTGTCAATCAGTTTATTACCCGACAGGCAAAATCTTCATTGAGAGCAAGGATTACACTATGCATTGTATTGAAGCATATACAGTAGATGAAATCATCTTGAAGTCTCGGAGCAGGCCGACTAACAAAAACAGAGAAGATCTCATCTGCATCTTTGCATCCTTCCCCACTACAAAAAGGGC